TTTGGCTCTCTCCCACTCTAACCTCTTTTTTTTTTGTTGTTTTTCCTTCCCCTCCTCCATGGGTTTCTGTTAAGTTTCTCAGGATCCACATAAGAGTGAAAACATAAAAAGTTACTACCTTTTAGGTTAGTTTGATGGGGTGCCTGAGTGGCTCAGTCGGTTAAGCGTCCGACTTCAGCTCAGATCATGATCTCACGGTTCGTGAGTTCGAGCCCCACGTCGGGCTCTGTGCTGACAGTTCGGAGCCCGGAGCCTGCTTCGGATTCTGTGTCTCCCTCTCTCTCTGCCCATCCCCCACTCATGCTCTGTCTCTCTCTATTAAACAAATGAATAAACATTAAAAAAAATCTTTTAGGTTCGTTTGACATTTGGAGTCGTTTCTTTCTCTCAGTCAGATGATCCTCACTGAAGTGGAAACACTAAAAGAAAGGTGAGCAGAAGGCCTGCAGTGATCATCTCAGCTCTGAGTTCCCACCGGAACCAGTTCCTGTAAGTCCTTGGAGTGTAGCCTGTTATGACTGAACACACCTTAGACATGACCCACCAATGGGGCATCAGCCACCGTTATTCATGAACTGCTGCTACCATAGCTGATGCATGCTCTTGGTTCTAAATAAGGTGTGGCTTATAAGAATTTTAATTTACGGCCATGGATATTGCTCACCTACTTTAGATCTAATTTCAGCCGGAATCGTTATTTGACAAGGCATTCATGTGGCTGAGAAACTCTGACTCTTTTATTTAAGCTGCTGATAGATTTAGCTGTCCTCTTTTTGAAGATTTGCACATTTCCTGGCTTACTTGGAACTGGTACCATGTGGGATCAAAGACTGCTAGAGACCCTGTATTAATTCTAATAAATGTTAAAATAAAAGTTAAGCTCCATTTTCTGGTTCCTGTTGTAACTGGAAAGAATAGCTCATTCACAAGAAGAAAATGAATTAAAAATTAGGAACAGTGTGCCTTATCTCTTCCAAATGTGGGTACAGATATCTGTTTTGCTTTTCCCTTATTATATCATACAACAGAGAAAGTCACATTCAGTAACAACTCTATGGCCTCCATCTGGGTCTTCTGCTCTAGGGGTAGGAGGGAACCAACTCCCTTTAGGGTTCAAAGCTCCCCTTGCTTCAGACCTTTTGTTTCCTTGTTGCTGCCGAGAGGCTCGTGATGGCGGCCATTGCCTTTACTATCCCTGTGTCGTGTTCCTTCCACCTCCTTTCCTGATGTATGTGTGTGCGTGTGCGGGCACTGGAATCTGGGAATAATTTTGCTGAGAGAAGACAGAACACATTTCTCAAGCTCAAGAGAGCTTGAGAACACATTTCTCAAGCTCTCAAACCTCAAGAGGTTTGGCCTCCAAATGCCAGTGTGAATTTGATTTCATGGCCCATCTCATGAACTCATCTTAGGGTTCAGGACTCATATGGATCCTTCTAGGATTACTGTTCCCTCTACCTGGAATCATGGCTCTCAGCTTGTAAATCTCCAACAGAGAAATATAGAGGAGCAGAAGAAAAATTAAAACCTGGCAAACTAAATTCCTACTGATGACAAGTGGTCTAGTATTTCAGTTCTGTTGTGTGTTGTTTTCGAAGGCTTTTTTGTCACAAAATGACCTGGAAGATAGTAGAGAGTCTGTGGGATTATAATATGGTTCTATTACATGAGGGATATGAATGATCCCAAGATATTAAATTTTTTTTTAACATTTATTTATTTTTGAGAGAGGGAGAGAGAGAGCATGAACGGGGGAGGGTCAGAGAGAGAGGGAAACACAGAATCCGAAACAGGCTCCAGGCTCCGAGCTGCCAGCACGGAGCCCGATGCGGGGCTCAAACTCACGGACGGCGAGATCATGACCTAAGCCAAAGTCGGACGCTTAACCTCTTGAGCCACCCAGGCACCCCGATTCCAAGATATTTTAAAAGAACGAAGGATGGTTAGGATTGTCAGTTACCAATACAATTATGTGACTCAATTTCTAAACGGGCCTGGGGTGAGTTTCAGTTTCCTTACAAGTAAAAGGGGGAAGATGATTTCTACTGAACATGGTTGGTGTGAAAATTAATGAGATGATGTGTCATACAAAGCACTTAACACTATGCCTGACATGGAATAAGCACTCAATAAATGGAAGAATATGTACACACACACACACACACACGCACACACACCCTTTATTTTCACTGTCAGGTCTTGTCTATTTGTACCTTCTGTTCAGGAACCTTCTTTATTTCTCTAGCCTTTACCTCTGGCCTAACTTCTAGTGTCTAGCCAGCTGTTCCTGATGCTTCCATTAAACTGTCCTTTAAATGGTTATGTTCCTTTGACCTGCTGACAATGACTTTTGAAGGGAACCCAGTACGGTGGTGATTTTAGGACTCATAGAACCATGTGACTTTATTTTTTTTTTTTTTAATTTTTTTTTCAACGTTTATTTATTTTTGGGACAGAGAGAGACAGAGCATGAACGGGGGAGGAGCAGAGAGAGAGGGAGACACAGAATCGGAAACAGGCTCCAGGCTCTGAGCCATCAGCCCAGAGCCTGACGCGGGGCTCGAACTCACGGACCGCGAGATCGTGACCTGGCTGAAGTCGGACGCTTAACCGACTGCGCCACCCAGGCGCCCCGAACCATGTGACTTTAGAACTTTACTTGAAAGATAAGGAACATGAGGTCCAGAGAATGTAGGGAATTTCTCCCAAATCATACAGTTTTCAAATCTGGATTTCTGGGTTGCCAACATTGTCTTTTACACATGTAACAGAGTTCTTCAGACCCAGAGGAGAGTCCCGGCAAAGCACAGGATTTAGGTTGAGAAGGGATTATGTCTGAAAGTAAAAGAGGACTGATAAAATGGTTACAAATTGTGACCTTGTGTAAGGTACTTATCTCTCCATTTCTAAAATAATAGGTACCTACTTACCTCATAGGATCTTGTGAGATCTAGATTCTAGACAATGTGGGTGAAAATGTTTGTAAACTGCAAAATGCTTCATAAATACTAATTTTATCTTTTTTATGCTATTTTATCACACCATATACATATGTGTATATACATATACATATACATGTTAGATGTATATTGGGACATAAATGTGTATATGTGACTCTTAGTAGATTAGTATGCTAATAAAACCATTTTCAATCAAACCCAACTTTTTTCTGGCTTTTATCTGTAGTGTCCAATTTGTGATCATCTGTGGTAGGCTCTCTGTGTACTGCAAAGAGAGCTCAGGATCTTGGAGGCTGGGCTAAGAATGGGAAAGGAAGCAGAAGGGGATTTTTGCTGCATTGAAATCCAGGTCAACCAGTTGGGTGCTTAACAGGTGAAAAAGCCCCTTGCCATAAGGAATCAGGAGATCTTGCCTTGGAAGGGCTGAATATATGGGGATCTCAAACTACTTTCATCTTCATGAATATTAAGCTATTTCCTTGAGTCTCAACGGATGAGTTACTGGGATTAACTGCTCTGTGTGTGACTTAGAAAAGTAAACGTGATTCTAGTTTCTTATCATCCAGGAAAGTGTAAAGAGCGGGCAGAAATGGCAAATTCGTGTCCACTTGTGGGCACTCTTGGGTTGAGTGGTAGTGATGTGCTAGAGAACCGTGCAGAAGGAGATTTGGGGACTGAGGATAGGTCAAGTTGGACAAGTGCCGTAAGTAACCTAGCAGTGTGTACTGTAGGCTCAGGTGGGAATAATATATGTACATATTGGAGATAGCGCCAGGGCCTTGGTTATAGTCCTGGTATCATCCATCACATCCACCTGGGAGACCTTAAACAAGACTCTTCATCACTCAGGACTTCAGTTTTCCTCATTTGCAAAATAATTAGCATGGCCATTTTGCATGGCCATCTTCTGTTTAGAACAGAGGGACAGTTTACAATTTTCTTCATGTCAACTCCAGTACACCTTTACCAAGGAAGATGACCGTCCTTAGTGATTACAAAGGTATAATTCTACCTTTATTGACCTTATAGGATCTTGTGAGATCTAGATGATATAGAACATGTGTGAAAACATTTTGTAAACTGCAAACGTTGCGTAAATGTGGAGCCACAAATAGTGGCTTCAGACCCTCCAGTTTTCTAAGTTATATTCTCTCTAGACAGTCAAGAATATGAAAGAAATTCCTTTTAAAGAGTTTTCTCAGAACATTCTTTTGGCTATAGCAAAGGAAAATGAAATTAATAATTATATTTTTAATGGATGAAAGCTGAATGTGTTTGACTTGGAACCTTTCATCATCCTCTATGACTCTCAAAAATGAGAGACAGAATTGCTATATTTTCCTTTTCCATTAAGAAAAAGGAATTGGGGCGCCTGGGTGGCTCAGTCAGTTGAGTGCCCGTCTCTTGATTTTTGACTCAGGTCATGATCTCACGGTTGGTGGGTTCAAGCCCTGCATTGGGCTCTCTGCGCTGACAGTGCAGAACCTGCTTGGGATTTTCTTTCTCCCTCTCTCTCTGCCCCTCCTGTTTGTTCTCCCTCTCTCAAAATAAATAAATAAACTTTAAAAAAAAGAAAAAGAATTAATATGCTTGTTTGTTTCTTTTTGTTTGATACACACTTTTACAAAATCTGTTTTCCCCCTAAAATCAAGCTTATCTTTGTCTCAGAAGATTTTTTTTGGCCTGATTTTAGCTACATCATTTTTTTTCCAGTTCAAAAAAGGTCATTCCACACTTTGCAATGTTTTTTCAAGTGATAGGGACCCCAGAAAGTTGACAGTGGGATCTCTGGAGGTTGTCTGGAGGAAGTTTGGAAAACCCTCACATACGCAGCCTTGCTACACGTTGTATTCCTTCTGTGAGATTTGTGGTTTTATTTTCTTCCATATTGTCATTTTATTCAAAAGGGTGGAAGATTATGGATGACTAATTGGCATTTTAATTAAGGCAAGGGGAGGGGATTAGTGAATTTTAGCTCATGCTTGCTACTGGCTTTTGAGGAAAAGATCCCATGTATGATCCCTCGGTCTCTGTTTTCAGATCAGACTCCGACCCCAACGAGATTCCTGAAGAACTGTGAGGAGGTGGGGCTCTTCAATGAGCTGGACTGCTCCCTTGAGCATGAGTTCAGGAAGGCTCAGGAGGAGGAGAGCAGCAAGCGGGTAGGTTTGCTTGAATGGACACCTCGACAGGTGCCTCCTCTCACCCCCATTAGAATCTTCTGTGTGGAAACTTAGGTGGCACCGCAGATTGTGCTGATGTGGCCCTACAACAGCATTTTATGCATTTGCAAGTATTTGTCTCATGTTTTTTTAAAAAAAGGATGAAGCCCTGATTGTGGTAGAATCCCTCAAGGGGAAAACAGACATGAAATGTGAAATTCAAGCAAAAAAAAAATGTACCTGATTCTTGAACGTTGAGTTGGACAAACTCAGACTTCTTCTATTCAAAACTAGTTGATTTAGTGTGCTAAATATTTAGTAGCAAGTCTTACATGGGCGTTGCATGCAGAAGACGAAAGTCAAAGAGACAATAGGCAAATAATCATAGCAGGAGGAGAGGGGGGTTTCATTTGATTTTGACAACCTGGGGTAAAATCTTCCCAGTAGAACTCCACCAGCATCACAGTTACTTTCCAGTCGTATTATTGAACAGCTGTTAGTGTTGAGACAAATGATTTAAATGTATGTGTGGATTATTTGTTCTTAATAATGTAGAAAATCGACTTTATGAATGCCCCCACAATATATTCAGTTTATTGTAATGTTGTGCTTGTATCTTAAAATCACAATAAAGGAAAGGAAACGGGGTCACAAGTAAATGTGATAATTAGCATTTTTCCCATCGTTACGATAGAGCATTATTGAATGCCCACGATGTACTAAACAACAAATTAGACACGTTCCATGAACAGAGACTTAAAATGTGGAAGTTGGTTGAAAGGAAGGGCTGGCTAAGTTGTCATGGATTCTGAAGTTCCAGCTGTTCCATCCGGAGGAGACATTTTAAAAGGCTCTGATATTTCAAAACCTTCGAATCCTCCTGTATGTGAAATTATAATAATCCCTCGACCAGACTTTTCATGTCACATTCTTACATCCAGAGAGTCAAGGGCTTGCACTGAGTCTGTACCGCTTTAGGAAACATCATGATAATTGGTGAAGGAGACAAGAGAGGTATGAAATCTCAATCAACTCATTTTATTTGTATATGGTTACTTTGTCATGCGTACCTGATACAGCCACTTCCCTCACCCTCCAAGTGACATGAAAGGCTCCCCCGCCCCTTTTAAACAAATACTTACTTAGCACTTGTTAGCCAGGCGCTGTTCTGAGCACTTAAAAATTCAAGTCAAGAAAAATAGAAGGCATATGTTCTATAATTCACTGCACTAGAAACGTATTTTTTAAAAATGAAAATAACAAGGGCAAAGAAGAACCCAAAAGTCTAGTAAATTTCCTCTGGTTGAATAATAAATTTAGCTCTCCTGGTAGACAGGGCATGTGTGAAAGACCAAGGGATTAATAAATTCATTCATTCCTCAAGAGAGTCAATGTTGGCTTCTTAGATTAAAACTGAACTATAAGAAAGATGTGTACTGGTTCATTTTGGTTCGTATTATTTTCATTTCCGGTAGAATGCTTTTAACCAAAGTATGTGCCCTTGATTTTCTTATAGACATTTACCGAGGACAGCGTTAGGAAGCCCATGGTAGGGGTGTGGTTTTAGATGTTCTCCTTTGCGTAGTACTCATGATCTTCTATATGAAGCCCCATGGGAGGAAATTCTTGCAGGTCTGAATTCCAGGAAATACTTTGCTTCCCCCAAAGGAACTGAAATATTTTGTCCTCATGGACATGAGAATCCTGTAACTGGTTCTGTTTCTCTTTTCGCTTTGACTGCTCGGTTAACAGAAAGCCAAGTTTACTGCTTAACTTTGAGAACTTTTTAGAACACTATGATGAACATATTTTACTTCTCCCCAGACTAGACTTTCAGTTCTAGTTTATATTTCCTCTGGTCCTGATTTTTAATTTAAAAAACATCTCTATGCTATACATTTTTTTTTTTTGGCGAATTGCTTTTGAGTCCTTGTGGGTTGAGAACGAGTATAAATAATTAAACTTTAAAAAATTCAAGTAATTTGGCAAGCAAAGTTGAGAAAAAGAAGACTATTGTAGTTGTAGAAGTACATATTTTAAACACATCCTTAAAACATTTTTAAAAAGTGTCTTTTGAATGTTGCTTTTAGCCATGTGCTGGTTTTGTGATGGGTGTTTGGCTGAGGGTAGTCAGTTTCCCTCATGGTTTTGGGGTGGGCATCTCAAACCCCAACTTTACTTGTACACCAGGAAAGCTGGACAGCATTCAGGCTGTTGAGCTGTCATCTCCCCTTGCCTCTTTCAAATCAGAGGGGCCAAATCCAGCCTTGGGTGGCCTTGGCTTCTCGAGACCTAATGCACAATGACTTATCCAGCAGCCAAGTGGGCTGGGTTGGTGGCTTCTGCGTGGCATTTCTTTGGAAGCCTCAGGTGGATAAACGAAAGGTAGGGGATTGTCTCCAATCTAGCAGCATAGGTTTGTGCCACCTTTGACCCCACTTCTCTAACAACCAACATCTCTGGCACACTGCCACCCACAGCCCCTGCTTCATTTCTTCATCCCTTGCTTGAAAAGGAGGAATACAAGCTCTTTATTCAAAGCAAACCTTATTGTTATATATTATATTTTGTATGCAATGCTATCTTCTACTTCCTTCCTTCTGCTTCACATTCAGATAATTATTTCTTTTTAATTGTACATCTCCAACCTTCTTCTGGTTTCTTTTCCTCTGGGTATAAGTACTTTATACAAAAATATCGGGGGGCGCCTGGGTGGCGCAGTCGGTTAAGCGTCCGACTTCAGCCAGGTCACGATCTCGCGCTCCGTGAGTTCGAGCCCCGCGTCGGGCTCTGGGCTGATGGCTCGGAGCCTGGAGCCTGTTTCCGATTCTGTGTCTCCCTCTCTCTCTGCCCCTCCCCCGTTCATGCTCTGTTTCTCTCTGTCCCACAAATAAATAAACGTTGAAAAAAAATTAAAAAAAAAAATATCGGAAGATTTAGGCTGGTCCTTCCCTCCACCTCTGACTTTCTAGCTGCAGTTTTATCTAGAACATTCTGTTCAAGAGCAAATAGAGAATTGATCCTTGCTTATTAGCCCATTTGGCCATCCATTGGGCAAAATCCTATTCTAGGGACTATCTCTAATCCTGACAGCCTTCTCCAAAAGCGTATCAACGTATGTATAGAATGAGGACAGGCTAGAGGCAGGTCATGACAATGGAAAAAGCCCTAATATCTGTATCTGTATCACATGTAGAAAGCAACACATTCCACAGTTACCCAATCTTCCACATAAGTATAAGCTCACGGTTTCAAAACTCTTTAATAAGAGATGTTTTTCCCTTGAAAAAGCATCCATCACTAGCAGGCGTCACAAATCTCAGTTTGCCTGTGGCTTAGAAGTCAGGGTCGTCTATGTCCTGAAACAGTTGAGAAACTTGTGCTCATCATGTATTCATTCAGTAAATCTTTTTGAGTGCTCATCACGTGCCAGGCACTGTCTGAGCCTTGATGAATATTACCCAGGGACTAAAGCTAATTAAAAACAAAACCCTGCCTTCAGGCAGCTTGCTTCTCATGGGTAAGACAGACAATAAGTAAAAACAGTAGAGCATATAACGTGTCAAAAGGTGATAAGTGTTATAGCAGGAAAGGGGCAGAATGAGTGTCAGGGGTGGTCACCGGGTTGCCGGTAAGTGGACACATGCGGCAGAGACCCGAAGGAGGAGAGTGGAGCTTTGCTTCAGAGCAGGTGTGTGTTGAGGAGAAGAATGTTCCAAGTGGAGAGAGCAATGAGTCAAAGCTCTAAGGCTGGAGGACGCTCTGTGGGTTGGAGGAATCGCAAAGAGGAGAGTATATAATAAGCTAAAGAGTGGGCACCAGGAGGGCAGATTCCAGAAGGTCTGCGGCCTCCAGATTTTTCTCCCGGTGAGATGGGGAACCGTAAAGAGTTTCAAGCAGAGGAGTGATAGGATCTGACTTATATATTAGAAAGTTCACTTCAGCTGCTGGGTTGAAAGTAAACTGTTGCAGGACAAGAGCTGGGAGAGAGCAGTTAAGGAGACTAAAGGAAGACTCTAGATTAAAGGTGATGTTGGATTGGTCCAAGGTGGAGACGGAGGAAGTGGTTCCATTCTGGGTCTATTTTGAAGATACAGTCAACAGGATTTGCTGATGATCTGGGGAGTAATAGCAAGGATGGAATCAAAGGTGAACCAGGTTTTTGGCCTAAGCAACTGGAAGTATGGGGAGTTGCCTGTGGGAAGAGCCAGTTTGAGCGGAAGACCGTGGAGACTGTTTTTTGTTTTTTTTTTTGACTTCAGTGGAGATATGGAACCGGCACGTGGGTATAGTGGTCTGTAATTCAGAAAGAGGCAATTCGTCTTGAGATATGAATTTGGGAGTCACTGGCCTGTAGATGGGGTTTAAATACGTGAGACTTGATGGAATCGCCTGAGCCAGGAATCCATGGCGATGAAGTGGAGAAGGTCTCAGCATGGAACTTGGCGGACTCCTCCCGAACCTCCAGGAAAGAGTATTCAACTCTCCTCAGTGGCCAGGGCTGACACAGACGACCCTGAGGCGTGAAGAATCAAGTCAAGTACAGAACCCTACCGGTAATACTGAATAGACTCTAGTAACAGTTGGCAGTTAGCATGCTGATTTCATTTTCCGTGTCAGAGGCGAAAAAAACAGAAACAAAAACAAAAAAGATTTTTAAAAAGAGAAAAATAAAGAGGAAGGTGGGTTGACCTAATTTTAAATTTGATTTTTAAAAGACGGATGGAATAATGCATGCGTAGGAAGCGGGATATAGCTTCATCGTATGATAATAATTGGGAGTGCGTGCGTGTGTGTGTGTGTGTGTGTGTGTGTGTGTGAGTGTGTGTAAGGGGAGTTGAGAGGACTAGAAATGAACTCCTTTGTCTTGCTGAGAGAAATATAACATTACAGCCTCACGTGGTGAAGGACCCTGGAGATGAAAAGCACGGTGTGTAAGTGCTAAGTGTTGCTCTCCTCCCATAGGACCTAAATTTGACTCATCATGCTGATGCAGCAAT